ACACTTAAGGTTTCACAGCACCCTTGTCACTAAAATTGTAGTGGGCAGACATAATCAAACTATTCTATCTGGATAAATACATTTTGGCTTTTATGACTCCTCCTATTTAGAGAAATCAAGTGTGATGCAACAAACACTGGCTTTTATATAGGTTAGGTTTTCCAAGAGCACTATCTGTTTTTTATCTCTCAAATTACAAACTTTTGACAACTCTGGTGAAATCCACAAATTGTATCACATTGAGTAATTTTAAGTTTTTGTCATTAAAGCTAAAATTCAGAAACCTTGAGATTATAAGCTAACATTCCACACATTTTTAAGTAGGGGAAAAAGTCAATCATTTCTTTTAATTTCTAATATGGAAAAAGACACATACCACAAAAGTTACTTGTAATCTCTTTAAATGGATATTTCATTTTATGATTTTTCTATTCTTAAATGAAAAATTATTCAAATATTTAATGGAGCTTAAAATACCAAGTTTTACTTTGTTCATCACCAGCCTTTGGATATCTCTATCCTAAGGAGAACATTATTTCAGTACAAAAATCAGCCATATGTATGTATTTTAAACTTTACCTTGCAAGGTATTTGTTGTAAAAGATTGAAAATTAATTTTACATCCTAGAATATACAATTAAAAGGGTTTACAATTTTATGTGTTACATTAGGAAAAAAGACAAATAATACATTTCCCCCCAAACTCAAGTGTGAAACTAGTTGCATTGTTTGTAATCTCAAGGTTTTATGCTTTGGACTTTATCATGGCTATTTTGAATATAGACGACCAATGTAAAAGAAAAAATTGCTGGCTTGATTTTTACTTTAGTTTTACAGTGTAGGTCTAGAAAAGTATAAGTTTTATAGTAAATTTAAAATTATGTTTTATGCATTAGCCCTTTGAATACTAAAATGTATCCACAATACCACATTCAGTGTTGTATGATGATACAAATTAAGTGATTAAGCATCCTATTTACTATAATATTCTCAATTTATAATAAAAATTACAATAAGTTAACTTATAGTTATAATTATCAAAAAGACAATTATAATTTATAAATCCACTCATGTCGTACCTTCTCTAAACGAGTCTAATAGTAATACAACACAAGATAGGGAACTAATGTTCCTTGTATATGTTTAGTGTTTTGATTAGAAAGATTATTAATTAAACTATTATTTAATAAATATTGTTAATAATTCGCCTAGGCCTGAATTCTTGAAGTTGAACTCAAGTTTGTTTAGTCGAAGTTGATCCATCCCATTTCTAGCCCTCAACGACGGCAATGACACTTTTTTTTTCTAAACTCAAAATCTAAAGAGGAAAAATCATAAGACAACTTACCAGGTAATCGAATTCCATACGCAATATTAATAACAGTTCTTGATTTTCGACAATAGTCATGTCTACCACAAACAATTCATTTCTAATTCTATACATCAAATTTTCATTTAACACTCATATTAACAGCTAAGCCTACACTGAGTCACTGACTAAGCAACACCGTGCGATTCAAACGCCATCTGTGTCCTCAACTGGAGGAAGCCAGTCCTTACCGGAACAAGCAGCTTTTCGACGGTTCTCAGCTTGTTTTAACACGCGATGCAAGTTAACTTCCGTAGCAAACCTGGTAAACGATAACATTTATCGTTTACGAACTGCAAATTAACATTCTCAATTTAGTTAACAATAAATAAGGCTGAAATGAAATAAATACACATTTACATAAAATCCATAGTTACTCTTTCGCATTACTATCGAACATATAACAAAGAACACCTAACACACCAACTAGACAGCATCGACTTCCAAGTCCCTTATCGTTGAATGCAAAACACATACTTCGAGACGAGTTCTTTCCTCAGTGCACTGTTATTACGTCATAGGAATTACATGATAAACCCTTTATCATATATATATATATATATATATATATAAAAGATAGACAAGCAGTTGGAAATATTCTACTAGAAGAAAAATTATGCGATTTTCTATCTTTTTTTATTATAATGTTTGCAATTTCAGTTCTATTATTTATTATTAAATATTTTATTCGAACATCTCCAAAAATTAAACGTCAATTTTAGAAACTTTACGTATTCTGTATGCCACAGCGATATCAATAAAAAGTTTTCAGTATATTATTTCGTTGTACAGATAGAACGCAAAAATGACACGCGATATCAACACAAATAAGAGAAAGAGAGCTTTTAAACCGTAACCAGTCAATCTTGCAATATGACGAATCTATAATGTCTTCGGAGTAAAACATGCTGTATTCAGGTACATTGATCTCCAACAGAAAAAATATAAGTTCCAGCAAAATGCAGATTCAAGATTGTTAAGCGAAGAACAACAGGTAAAGGAAAAAAACAAGCACAAGTGTAGTTGTAAACATTTTTTTTTATTAAACAAGCACAATGTTATGTCACGCAAACTAGCCAGGCTTCTTTTTCTGTGTCGTATCATCTAGGTGCGTAAAAGATTTGGGCCCATAGACACGGACATTTTTGGCGCTTCATTATAGTATTGATCATGGTTTTCTATTCTGATTTTTCAAGCCACTAACTGGGGTTTCGCGGCCCTGTCAAACAGAATCGAGGCATAGGCCCCGTGTGCCATTGCCTAGCAATGCCTCTGGTCGTATGGTTGCTGGAGTGGATAAGAAAGTTGAAAGATAGCTACAAAAGAACAAAATCAAGAGAGATTAATATGAAGATAACTTGTCATGAACACTTTAGCGAAACAACAAAAGCCACGTTCCGCACAACTCCACAGGTTACATATACTTCAATAAATAGTGTACACCAGGGCCTAAAATTCGAGTCGTTTATTCGTTTCTTATCAACTAGGAAATCCTTGGGCTGACTAGAATAACGAAATAATAATAATCTAATCCATCCAACAGGGCCGATTAGAATTTTAAACATTTTCACCAAACGTGCATTTCTATATACTTTCCCCTAAAACCATAGTTGTGTTTTCGTCTCGTGAAAATATACTCTTTACTTCAATCTCCCAAATAGAGATTCTAGCTTTCTGGGGACTCCTAAATTATTTTTAAACAGTATAGGAAATCCACATCACGTCTGAAATAATAATAAAAAAAAATATTTTTTGGAACACGTGAATGGCATGATCTATCCAAAAGAAATGTGACAAATATTTAGATTAAAATGGTAATCTAAAGTCACATTATTATTTTCGTGTGTTTATCTGGATTAATATAAGGATTATGTATATTCCAATAGTGATATAATCAAAAATTGCTATTTTCAAATAAAAAATGTGTTATTGTTACAAATATATGCACATACATATTTGCAATTGTGACTTTCTTCGAAAACTTCACATCTGCAATTGATAAAATAAAATTAACACAAACATATATATATATATATATATATATATATATAT